ATCAAAAGTTAGGAGAGAATCAAGAATATTTAAAATCTTTTAAAGCTTTTGCTGACAAATTAAGCACATTTCATTGCTTATTTTGTTTAAAGATTATGAAACATTGACAAAAATATAATAAAAATTAACAAATTAAGAATTTATAATTTAAACTTCACAAAGAAAATTAATCAGATAATAAGTAATTAGGCAAACTATAAAGGTTTTGTTAATAGCTAGTGAAGTTAAACTAGACAATACCTCAAACTAACATTGATGTGTAATGTATTCATAAACTCACAGTACATATACGCAGTTCTTATATGCATAATAAAGGTGTAGTGCAGGGATGGCGAACCAATGGCACGCGTGCCATTTATGGCACGAGGCGCAATATTTTGGGCACGCCACCGATAACAATTGTTATTACTCTATGAATTGTTATTACACAAATGTTATTACACTATGAAGCATATGTAACAATTAAATTAAAATTCACAAAAAACAAACAAAATAATAAACAATTATTAATAAAAAAATTAGCAATTAATGCTAAAAAGACAATTAATAACCATAAAAAACAAGCTAACAATAAATAACTAGTAAAAAAAAAAAAATAACAGTCCTGCTTAAACTAACATCTTACAACTTAATATAAGTTATTTGTCATCTAATCTGCAACAACAGAAGTCACACTGATGTTACTTCAAGTTGTTTCAAAGCGCATTTTTTTTCAATGTAAATAAAGAGTTTTGAGTTGATAGTATTTAGTATTATTGTTTTCCCAATAATCACGAAGTCAAAATTATTTGACGGCACGTCTATGACCTCATTAAACAATTTTTTAGAAAAATTGGCACGTCGGCGTATAAAGGTTCGCCATCCCTGGTGTAGTGTAACATAATGTAAATATTCTCTATTCCTAATTCAGTATATATTATAAACATATAGATACCTATTCTAATACATAAAATAAAAAATGTATTATAATATTTATACTTGTCATATAAGATGAAAAATAACAGAAATTTTATAAGAAAAAATTATTGCAAGTTCAACTTTATAGGTAAAAATATACTTTTAGATATACATAACTCAAATTAATTCATTTTCCTTGACTTTTTTAGTATTTAATTTAAATTTCAAGACATCGCCTTGATTATTTAAGATAGATAAAAATTCTCAAACGCTTTCTTCTTCTGTGGCTACACTGATACTCTAATACAGACTAGTAAAACAAGTGAACAACTGAAACTTAAGTCTGCCAACTGCATATACATGTAGCTACTATGTGTGCAGTTACTCAATTTCAGATATGATCTAAAAGCAACTGGTAGGATATAAGTAGGGTTGCAAGTTCGTCGCGGGAAAAAAAGACATAAATTCGCGGGTGATTCAAGCAAAAGTTTTAAAAATTCGCGAAATTTTCGCGGATAACATATGCACTGATATTTACACCGAAAATCAATTTAAAAATAATAAAAAACATAAAAAAGTTACAAAATTTTATTTTTAAGCAATATTAATGCCGTTACTTAAATGTACAGAATTTTGATACAAAATATTATACATGGTTAGGTTATTCTCGCTAATGTTTCTCCTTTCATAACTCAATACATTTTTGTATTTTGAAAAAGATCGTTCGGCATCCACGCTATTAGTTGGTACTGACAAACATTGAATTGCCACTTTAGACAGTTTTGGATAGCGTTTCATCTTTGATTTCCAAAACTGAATTAATTGTCTACTTTCAACATGTAGATCATTAACTGTCGCTTTGTAAGCATTAAATTCGTTCTTCAACTCTTCTTCATCCTCAAACATGGAGATAGAGTTAAAAATAAAAGAACTATCATCTTCTTGGAAAACATCTAAGTATTTGAATTGACTAGGATCAAAAGCTCTGCATGCTTTAAAAAAGCTTGATGCTGGTTGACGAAATCTGTGTGTTGTAATATTGCCTTCAATAAAGTATGCCTGAATTTTTTCCTGGCATGATTTTAAAGCTTTTTTAGATTTCAAGTGCTGGCAGGTTATAGTTTGCTTTTTAAATCTTCAGCAAGATCAGACATTTCATTAAAAATAACATGCGAACTTATTCTTTGTTTTTCATATAAATTTAATAGATTCAAAATTAAAGATGCATATTTTTCAATCTCTCTTAAATCTTCACTCAATTCTGCGTTACAACATTCTTTGGAAATCGTGCTGATCAAAGAACTACTGCTATTTTGTTACTCTTTATCGAAGAACTCTGCATATTCAGCTAAGTAATTTACGTGAAACAAAGCTGCCTTAAACCAGCTATTCCATCTGGTTTGTACGGGAACCGGTGGTAGAGCGGCGGTTTTGCCCTTTTCAACTAAAAAGGCTCGAAATCGACCCTTACGTGAAGGACATGCTCTGAATGCACGCTTTAAATGCACAATAAAAGAATTAACTTTTTCAAATTGATTTTGCCATATTTCTCCTAGAAGATTTAAAAGATGTGCATTGCAAGTCACATGAACAGCATTCAAGAAAACTGCTTTCAAACTTTTTTCCCATGCTTTGTTCATGTAAGACGCATTGTCAGTGACGAAAGATGAAATGGTATTAAATAATAACTTCAAATTGTGAATAATTTTCATTTAAATCGCTCGAATTGAATAACTTTCGTTCAAATCGCGCAATTTTAAAAAATTCGTGAATTTTTGAAAAAAAACTTGAAATTTCGCGGGAACGGTCGCGAAAATTCGCGCCGCGAGAAACTTGCAACCCTAGATATAAGGGCCACATGTAGTTCATTTACCACAACATTGGGAAATTAGTTGCACTGCTGATAGGGGCACCTGACCTACAAAGTTTAAAATAAATAAAATTTATACAAATTAAATGAAATTTGAAAAAAAAAATAATGAACTGTTACTTGGAAAATAAGTTTTTTTTTAAATTTTTTTTTACAAGCTTCTGCAAACTTTGAAAAAAAGATAATTTAAAAAATCTAATGATAATAGTAACAAAGAAATTATATTGGATAGGGTATTTTTGTATTGATACCAGTTTAGGCTGACTACAATAGCAAAAGGGATTACAAGTTATACAAAGTTAGTCTCCTTTTTTTATGTTTTTTTCTTAGTTTTTCGTGTGCTACTGCCTAAAAATGGATAGAATGTAGCACTTATTTTGGTAAGGTATCACTACAAAGATCTTCCCAATAAGGATTTTATAATAAATATAATTTTGATGTCATAATAACTTTGCATAGTTCATTAACTTATTGATATATAAGAGTACCAATTCTACTTTTTTTAAAAAAGTGAACATTTTGCGATATTTTCTTTTACTTGCATGCACACACAAATTAAAAGGTTTAAACTCAATATTAAAATTCACAACTTTCTTTAGTTTAAAAAAATATTATTATAAGCATCAACATTAATTGTAGCACTAGCCATCAAAAAATGGAAACTTAAGTCAAATATAATTAAAAAATAAAAATCCAAACCTAATATCTAAGATAAAACTAATACATTAAGCCTTGATCGATTCTTTTCATGGAAATTCCGAAAAAGAAACAATTTTGATTGAAGATTGTTACGCTATTTATCAAACATTACATGATCAACCATGAAATAAATTTCTTTAAAGCTTACTTTAAATACATTGCGTAGTATTTTTCAGGTTTTATAAATAACTCATACCTAGTACACAAAACATAATTTTATAGAAAAAAATATAAAGGGAAGTACATGCAAAACACAATCAAATTTAGAACAATGAATGTCAAAATTTTAAAACGGAACTAAAACGTATTAATATTGTGTTGACATTACCACTGTTGCGAGATTTATAATCGTCTTCAATTAGTTCAAAAGCTTTACGTATTAGTGATCGAGACATTTTCTACTAGAAATTGATCTAACGAGATATTTCTTTCAAAATTTATTATATAAATTTACTTATTTAAAATTATCATATATACAAATTTAAACCATGTGAAGTGCTAAAGTTTGTTTGCAAGCAGTTACATGGTTTCTTATAACTTATTTCTGTTAATTCCAATTAGGATTTCTATTTAAGCAAAATCAAGATAAAATGTGCTTGTCGCTTACATAAAATTTATATCTTTTTGAAACTCTACTGCAGGTTTATTTTTACTGCAACTATTTAATGCATCTTGTCACAAAGAGAATCAGACTTTGATTGGTGAACATTCTCCGTTCGAAACGCTCTGTTTTCTAGAATGGAATCAGCAGGCTCAAATCCAATATTTAACAAGGCACACATCTTATGTCAGATGAATTTTTTTTTTAATGCAATAAAAGTATGTTTCCACGAGCGCAGGTTTCTTCATTTTTACACCTGCTTCCATAAAAAAATTTATTCCAACGAAATTTTACGATGCAACAAATTATGTGTCGAATAAACGAAAGAGAAAAAAAATTACAAATTTTATTGTACATCTCATTAATAGCCCGTGACGCTTCCTTGTATACATTTTGAACCTCAGCATTTTGCTCTCTCTCTCTCTTTCTCTCTCCATTTTCTTTCTAATGTAATAGATCAGTGGTCCCCTATCCCAATTTGAGATAAACTTAAAACTAAGATCCGTCACCATACCACTCATGTATTTGCATTTTGTTTTGAAGGCATGTTTAAATACAATTAAATTAAAATTATTAAATAAAAATCATCTGAAATGTAAATAATCACAGTTCACCCTCTCTTCAACGGATCAATGAACAAAATATTCAAAATGAACAAACGTTGTCACGAGGTGTTATAATTTAATTGTTTTTTGTGCTGGCTCAAATTCCGGTGGCAACGTTGTTCACGATGCCATGGTTACGAGCGATTCTGTAACTAGAGAGAGTAGTTGAAAAAATAATAAAAAGTTCTTTTTATAAAGATGCCTCAAGATTCCTAACTTGTTATTTATATAAGGACACAACATTTGGTGACCCGTCGACGTGATCCGTAGTTGACACAGGTTAGTGAAATATTTTATAGTGAGAGGAAAAGCATTGAATTTTTGTATAATGGAGGACATAATCAGAAAACGTAAACCACTTAGAATGACTTTTACCAAAACCATAGGAAGTTTATTTGACGAATTAGAAAAACAAACGCCTGACAGTAAAAACATCAAACAGCAGTGTTTTACTTTAGATAGAGTTTTTAATAAAATGAAAGAATGTGACGAATTAATTTTGAACGATATAAAAACAGACGTTGAATTTGAAGCTGAGTATAATAAGATTGAAGAATTTGATCAAAAAATGGATTTGGCAAGAGCAGAAAGTGAAATATTTTTCAGTAAACAAATTGTGTTGAATGAAGCGGCGAGTTCCGTCACTTTATCGCCAAATACAAAACGAAGAATGCGTCTTCCGAAGATTGAATTGTTACGTTTTGGAGGAGATCTGAAAGATTACCTTGGTTTTTGGAGCCAGTTCCAAAGAATACATACCGACAGCGAGTTGGCTCCAGAAGACAAGTATCAGTATCTCCTGCAGTGCGTAACACACGGTAGCCGAGCTCGAGAAGTAATTGAAAGTTTTCCGCCAACAGCGGAAAACTATAAGAAGGCTATCGACGCGCTAAAAAGCAGGTTTGGGAGAGACGAGTTACTGATAGAATATTATGTCCGTGAATTATTAACTCTTGTTGTAAAAAATGCTACAGAAAAAAGGGGAAATTTAAATATTGCAAATTTGTATGACAAATTAGAGTCACATCTCAGATCGTTAGAATCGTTAGGATTGGCGAGTGAGAAATATGAAGCGATTTTGTTTCCATTGGTGGAGTCCTGCATTCCCGAAGATTTAATGAGAGTTTGGCTGCGAAATCCAATACAGTCGGGCGTAGCAGGTGAAATGGCAGATAGTTTTGGAAACAAATTGAAAAACTTACTTTCATTTTTGAAACGCGAGGTGGAAGGCGAAGAACGTTTACAACTGGCGAGAAATGGATTTGATGGTGCTCGGACAAGGTTGAGGTCTAAGAAAGAGCAACACATCGACGAAGTCATTCCCACCGCCAGCACTCTGGTTTCTAGTGACATATCCCAGAGGCATCCATTTTGTGTGTTCTGTGACAAGACTCATGAAAGTAGAGATTGCTTCATTGCACAAAGTTGGTCTTTGGATAAGAAGAAAGAAGTCTTAAGCAATAAGAAAGCGTGTTATATTTGTTTCAAGGCTAACCATAGGGCTAAAGAGTGCAAAGCAAAACTCAAATGTATGATGTGTTCCAAGCGGCATCACGTAATTATGTGTTTCGAGTTACCAGTAAACAAAAGGGAGTTGACAGCTAAGGAAAGGGTAGATTCAAGTAATGTGTTGGTCGCCAAAGAGGGTAACGAAGTTCTTCTGCAGACTCTCTTAGTAAATATTGAAGCCAATGGGAAAAGAAAACTGGTTCGAGCTCTTATTGACAGTGGCTCCCAGAATTCTCACATATTGAAG